AAGTGCTCTTAGAGATCCACCTGGCTCGGTCCTTTTTCAAATGGAGAAACTGAGGCTGAGAGAGGCAGGAAGTGCCTGTCCACAACGGGGGGTGGGGTGGGGGAAGGGCTCCTGTCGCGTGCCCATCAGGCAGATCAAGCATCTAGGATGCTTGGCCTCCGGCTCCTGAGTCCCTCTGGGCATCTCGGATCGTCCAAGCTGGAGCAGACAATGAGGGGCAGCGGCCGACAGGCGAGTCCAGCAGCAGATGCACAGGCGGCGAGTACATGTGAGAAGTTTGTGAAAAGAGATGAGAGAAAGGGAGAGGAAGACCAGGCAGGCGGCTTCGAACACCTGGCCAGGCAGCCATGCCAGCTGCCTCCCCGCGATGGCATCTTGAATTCGGGAGTCCTATCCAGGAGGCCATCTCCCATTCCACCCTCCCTGCCCCCTCTCCAATGCTCCAAGGTGAGGCTTGGCCAGAAAAGAAGGTGGTTGGGGGTAGCTGCTGCTTTTCCGAACCTGCTTCTGCCGGAAGTGTGCTTGGAGCCTGTCCAGCCTCGGAGTCTTTGGAAGAAGGAGAAAAGTAAAACCCTGCTCACCCTATTGCCTCAGCCCCTGGGCTTGGGTGAAGGGTAATGGGTGCCAGCCCAGGTTGTTAGTTAAGAGCAAGGGCTGGGGAGTCAGATAAACCTGGATTCCAATCCCCACCCCATTAGTGCCTAACTGTATGGTCTTGAGAATGTTAATCTCTGTGTGTCTCAGTTTTCTCATCTGCAAAATGGGCACAATGATATAGGCTTGGTACAGAAATTCAGTACTTCTGAAGCACCTAGCTCAGAGCCTTGCAAATAGGAGCCACTCTATAAAAGTCTATTGTTGTCACCATCATCCCCTCTGCTAGAGTCCTGGGGAGAACATTGTTCATGTATTCATTCATTTGACACAAGTTACAGTAAGCTTCTACATGGTGCTTTGCCCATAGACACAAGTATTGGAGACAGAGGAGAGAGAGAGAGAGAAAAAAAAACAAACTTATTTTCAAAGAAGTCTCAGAGTTCTTCAAAGAGCAGAGGGCACAAAAATCTCACATTCTTACTAAGAAATAATAGAGGAAGATTCAAAAGACATTGGGAGCTCTTAAAAGGAAAACTCTTGAGTCTCCAGGAAACTCACATAATTAGGCAGGGCCACCCCTCCCCCAACTACTGGGGCTTGAACCCAGGGATGCTCTACTACTGAGTCACAAACCCAGTCCTTTTTATTCTGAGACAGTGTCTCACTGAGTTGCCCAGGCTGGACTTGAACTTAGGATCCTCTTGCCTTAGCTTCCTGAGTTGCTGGTATTACAGGCATGTGCCACCACTCCTGGCCTAGGACAGGGCTTCAATCAAAAACAATATTGAGTCCAGTGATAGGTGTCCCGAGTAAGATTTGCAATTTGTGAGTCCCATCTGCATTCAAATCATGGATATCTCTTAAAGAGCCCTTATCGTCAAAATCTCTGGGTGTGAGGCTGGGATGCTGTAGTTTTAAAAGGCTGCAGGTTATTTTTATTTATACTAAAGTTGAGAGCTACTAGCTCATAGGAAAATGCCACTGCACCCCCCTCCCCATCCCTTTGTTCCCTACAAAGCTAGTCCTTCTGGAGGATTGAATGCTTTGTACCCTCACTTAGAGTTTATGTGGCAATTCTGTGTATCTGCCCTCTTTCCCCACAGAACCTACTTACAAGACCCAGCCATCAGCATCCCAAGCATTCTGGAATGCTGCTTTAATAAAGGATATGGCCCCTTTAGTGACACTTGCTTTAATGCCCATGTGGTCCTTACTTGGAACCTGGACAAATTTTGTTTGGCCCATGTACACGGTGCACATGTGGGAGTGTGTGTGTGTGTGTGTGTGTGTGTGTGTGTGTGTGAACTGTAATTTAATGCCATGGGTTGAGCATGCACTGTCCAATTTATCATCATTCAATCTCCCTTTCATGTACCCAACTGGAGTAACTAACTTATTTTACCAGATTTGCCTTTAATTGAATTTAAGTTTGCAAATCCTGGAAGGTGTTGTTAATTGTGTTCTAAGGCTCCCCTTCCAATTGTGTTCTGTATGGTCTGTCTCTTCCAGGCTGTTATCTCCAGGACCTTTCCATGAAGACTAGTCCTTAGTGATGAATATCAGCTTACTGCTGGCTGCAGAGAGCTGCTAGTAGACCTTCTGGGAGGGAAGGATGGGAGAATGTTTTCCGGTTTGTGATCCTAATGCCTGGGGGTGGTGGTGGTGGAAGTGGAGCTGGTGAGGTAAGGGTCAACTCTGAAGACAGAGCAGTTGTTGGTTTTGTTTTGTCACTGACTGATACCTGACTGTGATCCCGTCAGCAACTCCAAGGACCCTGAGGAAACAGAGAAGAGAAAGAAGATGGATGTGGATGGGCCTAGTTTCTGCAGATTCAGCTTCCCAACTAGGGTATTATGGAGTGAGCGTGGGTCCTAGGGCACCACGAGGCCAGGCATGATGCAGATCCCATACCCCCACTTTCATTCTCCTTTTCCCTTTGGGCTTCCAGCATTGGATAGAAACAAGACTTAGTGATCCTAAATAGTAAAAAACTACTGCTCTGCTTTTGGGAAACC